AGATGATGTTGAGAGAGTTCAGGGATGATATTGAGAGTTTTGGTTAATGCTAAGGGATATGAGTCTCGATGATAATAAACATCAGAGGCTATATCAGGAGATTCGGGAAGATGTTGGAAGGATACATTGACAAATGTTCACGATGATATCAAGAATTGTCAGAGATTGCATTGGGTGCTATTCGGAATGATGTGAAGTGGTGCCAACAATGATATTAAGGGATGTCCGGGACGATGTCCAAAGACTACATTGATGGATGTTGCGATTAATATAAAGAGGTGACAGAGATGGTAATAATTGCGTTTGTCGGATTTCGTTATCAATATTTCAAAGTTATGTCTCTCTATGTTTTTAGAGCGATTTAAGCAAGTTATAAATTAAAAAGAAACAGAAATGAGCCATGCGAGGTGAGGAGGATTCTGTTCAATTTGGCTAGTGTGTGTTCCAGGCAGGACGTCGCGCTTTTATTGTACCTACATAAAGAAATAAAGGCGCGGCGTCCAGTCTGGAACACACCACCACCATCTTTTCCGATTGGACGGAACCCCGCATGGCTTATATGTGTTTCTTTTTAATTTATATTTCGTTTAAATCAGTCTAAAAGAATTAGAGGGACATAACTTTGAAAAATTGATAACAGGATCCGACAAACGGAACTATTCAACATATTTTGGTTAAACCGACATTGAAATCCAATCCACTTAATCCTACTAAACTGTGATTTTCCGCGAAACTATCACACATATGCTACGTAGAATGTTCAGCGATTACAACAAATTTTACCACAATTTTTTTCATCGAGTGGTTGTGAAGATATCGATCTCTAAAGTGAGGGGCCTTGACGGTTAATAAACACATTAAAAAGAGGCATTCAAGATAATGTTAACGGTTTGCAAAGGTAATATTAAAATATGTAGGGACGATAATGAAAATTTTTAAGAAATGTTGAGGAAGACGAAAATACCCCAAAATATACTAAGGGGTGTTCTGGAGGAAAGTTGAAGGATAACATGTAAATATTATGGGATATCGAGGTATATATCTGAGACAACATTGGTGCTGCTCCGATGATGTTGAGGGATGTTAAGGATGATTTTAAGAGGTGCCCGGAATAAGGTTAAGCTATTCTAGGGACGATAGGGGGTTGGAAAAGACAATAGGAAGGAGTGTTTCGACCAATGTGAAGGGGTGACCGGGATTATCTTTAGAGATGGCAGAGACGATATTAACAGATATCCAGGCGATGCTGTTTGTACTAGGAACAATTAAGAGGTTTAATGTTAAAGGTTTCCAAAGATAATATTCTGAACATAGTCTCTCAAACATCTTTACATACATCATTTGCATAAAGATGTCCCTGATAATGTTGAAAGAGGCTAGGACGACAATGAGATTATTTGTGAAGTGGTGAACGATCTTGGCAAGTATCAGGAACTGTATTAACCGATGTTCGAGAGGTTGTTGTAGAAAAGTAGGGACGATATTAAGGGATGTCTGCGACGATGCCGATTATTCTCAAAGATGACATTAAGGGTTATCCGAATCGATGTGGAGAGATGCTCTCAATGATATTATGGGATTTCCGGCACGATATTGAGAGTTATCAAAGACAGTATTGATGTTTCAGTCAGTTTTAAGGAGTGACAGGGATTATATAGAGGAATGGCAGCAAAGATAGTACGGAATGTCCAACGCGATGTTGAGGAGCACCAGAGATGGCATTGAGAAATGATCGGGATGAAGTTAAGTGACTATGTATTCTGTAATACAAAGGGTTGATTTGGAGTTTACGTTGAATTGTAAAGAGATCATATCTAGAAATGCTCTGGAATATTGTGAGGTTGATAAGAAGCAGAGACTATATTAGAGGATATCCGGGACGCTGTTGGAGGGTTACCAAAGACAGTATTGATAGAAGTTTCGGTCAGTTTTAAGGAATGACAAGGATTGTATTGAGGGATGGCAGCAAAGATAGTAAGGAATGTCCAAGGCGATGTTGAGGAGTACCAGAGATGGCATTGCGTTATGGTCGAGATGTTGAGTAATGCTCTGGAGTGTTGCGAGGTTGATAAGAAGCAGACTATATTAAGGGATGTCCGGGTCGATATTGGACGGTTATCAAAGACTGTATTGATAGATGTTTCGATCAGTTTTAAGGAGTGACGAGTATTATATTAAGGGATGGTAGAGACGGTATAGTAAGGAATGTCCAAAGCGATGTTGAGGAGTACCAGAGATGGCATAGAGAAATGGTCGGGATGATGTTCAGTGACTATGTATTCTGTAATATTATGGGATGATTTGGAAATTATGTTGAATGGTAAAGGGATCATATTTAGAAATGCTCTGAAATGTTGTGGGGTTGATAAAAACTAGAGAGTATAAAACCAGAGATGACATTGAGTAATGGTCGGGATTATGTTGAATGGTAAAGGGATCATATTTAGAGTTACTCTGGAATGTTGCGCGGTTGATAAGAAGCAGAAACTTTATTAAGGAATGTTCGGGTCGATATTGGTGGATTCAAAGACCGTATTGATAGATACGAGACGAGAAGAGTGACGGAGATTATATTAAGGGATCGTACAGACGGTATAGTAAGATTTGTCCAAGCCGATGTTGAGGACTACCAGAGATAGCATTGAGAAGTGGTCAGGATAATGTTCAGTGACTGTGTTCTGTAATAGTAAGGGATGATTTGGAGATTATGTTGAATGGTAAAGGGATAGTATTTAGAAATGCTCTGCAATGTTGCGAGGTTAATAAGAAGCAGAGACTGTATTAAGGAATGTTCGGGATGACGTTGGAGGGTTAACAAAGATGGTGTTGATAGATGTTTCGGTCAATTTTAATGAGTGATAGGGATTATATTGACAGGAATTACATTGAGAGATGGCAGCAAATATAGTAAGGGATGTCCATGGCGATGTTGAGGATTACCAGAGATGCCATTGAGAAATGGTCGGGATGATGTTGAATGACTACGTATTTTGTAATATTAAGGGATGATTTGCAGATTATGTTGAATGGTAAAGGGATCGTATTTAGAAATGCTCTGGAATGTTGCCAGGTTGATAAGAAGTAGAGACTACATTAAGGGATATCAGGGACGATGTTGGAGGGTTATCAAAGACAATATTGGTAGATGTTTCGGTCAGTTAAGGAGTGACAGGGATTATATTGAGGGATGGTAGTCAAGATTTGAAGGGCTGTTCAAGATGATGTTGAGTAGTATCAGAGATAATTGAGTAATGGTCGGGATGATGTTGAGTGACTATGTGTTCTGTAATATTAAGGCATGATTTGGAGGTTGATAAAAAGTAGCGACTATTTTAAGGGATATACGGGACGATGATGAAGGGTTATCAAAGACGGTATGCATAGATGTTTCGGTTAGTTTTAAGGAGTGAGATGGATTATATTGAGGGATGGCAGCAAAGATGACCAAGGCGATGTTGAGGATTACCAGAGATGCCATTGAGAAATGGTCGGAATAATGTTGAATGATTACGTATTCTGTAATATTAAGGGATGATTTGCAGATTATGTTGAATGGTAAAGGGATCATATTTGAAACTGCTCTGGAATGTCGCGAGGTTGATACGAAGCAGAGACTAGTTTAAGGGATGTTCACGATGATGTCGAGGATTATCAAAGGCGACATTGAGTGTTGTGAGATGTTTTATCAAGATTGGTACGAAAGGCAGAGAAAAGCCGGTCTAGATGACTTACTTGATTTTTTTATTAAAAGCTACAAAAGAGCTCTCGCTAGACTTTTATTCTTAATTTTTAACCTATTTTTGAAGATTGGCACATTCTCCGTTAAGTGAAGAGGAGAGTTTGAAATTACGAAACTGAGGCCCAAATGACTTCAGATATTGAAGACATTGGAGCTTTTCTGCAAGCTTCACAGCAAGGATATCATTCAGCATCAACTTTTCCAGAATTAGCAACTATCATAGCAATAAGTGTGGTAGCTGTTGCAGAAGATTAGAAATTAGTGTCGGTAAGAAAGGTAAGATTGAAGACTTAAAATTTTATGAAAGACTTAACATTCATATGAAGCTTCTAAAAAGGAATACATTTTTACTTATTTAATTTAATAAGTTTTTTGTTAAATCAGGAATGCCGATGCTTAATAAGTTTTTGTTACCACGATGCTCTTCACAAGTAATCCAAGAAGAAGTCTCTAATGAAATCTATGACAAGCTTCAAAACTACCACCGGTTATAAGATAGTTATCTCCTTTAGATAGCTAGATACCTCCTCTAATAAATACCCAAAAAAATCAAATCATTTAGTATTGAATTATTTACTCAACCAATATAATAAAATAAGTGAAATGGCTAGTGAAATCTGGATACAATTATTTTTGAAACGATATAAATTGTATTTGACAATTACTAGCGTAGGGAAGATTATGGGTTTTAATCGCGTTCCCGTTAATTGGTTTTCCAACTTCAGCGAATGTACTCGTTTATATACGTATGATTTACCCGAAAGGGATAAATGATATACCTAAATTGATTATCCCTAGACACCGTTTTTATTTCTGTTTATAAGTAAACAAATTTTGTTCTATATACTTAGAGTTCCCAATAAAAGTGAAAACAATATCATTCATACAAAAAAGAAACTTTTTTGCTTGAAAACCATTTCCGGATGAAAATCAAAATTGTATTGGGTTGGTGGAAAAATAATAGAGTTAGTTAGTGAGAGATGAAATGCGTGTGGTGCCTCGATACGGTTTATAACATTTTCAGGCATGAATATTCAGATTTTATGAATGAAATTCATTACAGAATTTGTGGGATATATTCCATATATTGTTATGTGTTTAATTAAAATTCATTTCAAATTATTCATGCTCTTATTGAATATCGTGAAATGTTCATTACCATTAAAGTTACAGAATCATTTAAGAATTCGCCGATAATTTAATTCAATTAATTTAAATTGTAATCTATTTAAATTTGTTAATACATTCTTTTATTCCTAACCTGTTTTTGCTCTTCCAGAAGCATCGCTATCAGATCTATGATGTCCGAGTAGTTTTTCACTAATCCCGTGGAATTTCTCGACAATAATCTCACTGTATGAAGCCGGTTTATCCGGGTTTTGATGTCCGGATCCTTTTTCCACCGGCTCAGTGCATGAATTAACAGTCGGTGTAGAACCTTTTAAATGGATTAAAAGAATTGTAAAAAAAACAACTGGTATAAGTAAAAACTACTATTATTACCTTTTGTATGTGATGTAATAGGTGCACAAGCTGTTGTTGAACTAAGAACGGCCATTTCTTTAAAAGCTTTTCCTTCCACCTTAACACCTTTGCGGATAAAAGATAAAAAAAGATGTCTGCATAACTCCTCCGGGGTGTGAACTTCCAAAAAAGTATCCAAAAATCTTCTAAATTGTTCATAATCAATATCCTGAAATGAAAAGATAAAGAAATTACGATTACACAAAAAAAAATAATGAACGATGAGAGGAAGCACTTGAATCACCTGAAATTATGACCCTCTTAAAAACCTTCAATCATCGTTTTCCCTCCTCTTTAAAACCCAACAGGGCTCGGATTACACAGGACATAAAAGGAGGCCGCAAATTCTATTCCCGTGAATATTTTCGTTAAAAAAGGAAAATGAGAGAAGAAGAGAATAGAAAGTGAGCAGCAGAGCAATAAAGAGCTTTTTAATAAATCCCCGGGGGAAAAATACGTCCTGGAACGGCGCCTCGGTGACTTATTAAATGCGGACAACATCGTGCGGTGAATACCAGAGGCCTCCTGATGGAAGAAACAAATTATCGTCCTTAAGACTTTGCGCGTGTCCCGGAAATTTCTCTGACACTAATGCTAACAACCAACGAATTAAAAAGAAATTGTACTGACATAAAACGTATAATATGTACAGTGTGTTAATTAATAAAATTATCGTACCCGATGTCATCATTGCAAGTATGCAACCAATATCACAGTATTGCACTAGAACTATCACAAGAACTAACGCAAGACCTACAACTGTATCATTCGGGGTTAGCCGTCTTGAAAGACGTGCGGCTAAATCCCAATATTTCTAGTTCTCGGTCTAGTGTTAGTTCTAGTTTTATACTAGCACTAGTGGTGGAACGGATATCCGGCAACTATCCGGTATCCGGCTTATTCGGCAATTTTTTAAAATCCGCCCAGATAGTTAACATTAAAAACCTATTACTTAATACTCCACCATTCATAGGAATTAGTATCTCTTTTAAGTGTTGGACAGTGCAGATAATAATCAAGTTCAACCCCAATAGCACTTTTTCATTGAATACAACTTTATTTATATCAGGTTTGTCATTAGCAACCTCATTGTAACAATCCTAATACGATATATAAAATCTCTTGTTGCAGATTCGTCTAGTTTTCTTCTCTTCGCTTGTACTTCATCATCACATTCATAACACACAGAACTGTCGCTGTTATCACTTTCGATTATTAATTAAAGTATCCTCTTTTTAAGGCAAAAAGCCGTTTTGAAAAATCACTTTTAGTTCTTGAGAAATAAATTTTTGAAATGATCGACAATTTTTTCGAATGTTAGAAATTTCGCCGATTAAGTTTGAAAAATCCATATAAAATCGATTTCTTGGAGTATGAGTATGAAAATTTCAGAAAGTGTTAATAAAAGTGTCTTCTTTCCAATGAACCAAACCGTTTTGAAAAATAGCCTTTAGTTTTTGAGAAAACAATATTTGAAGTTTTAATAAAATTTTGGATGTTGCACTTTTCATCGATAACTTTCAAAATTCGCTATAAAATTCATTTCTTGAAGAATCCTTGTGGAAATGTCACCAATTATTAATTAAAGTATCCTTTTTTTAATGCAACAATCCGTTTTGAAAAATCACTTTCAGTTCTTGAGAAATAATTTTTGAAATAATCGACAATTTTTTCGAATTTTACAATTTTCGCCGATTAAGTTTTAAAAATTCGTATAAAATCCAGTTCTTGGAATATAAGTATGAAAATTTCCCAAAGTGTTAATAAAAGTGTCCTCTTTCTAATGAACCAACCCGTTTTGAAAAATAACTTTTAGTTTTTGAGAAAACAATAT